GCCACAGGATAGACACTCCCAAAAGAAAGGACTACAGGAATAGAAACCAATGTGACAAAAGCAATACCGAAACTCAAAAGGGCAAACATTCCTGTAGTTGCACGTGCAGCACCTGGGGCCGGCTGTTGCAAGAGGGGAATTCCCAAGGGCTTTTGTGGCCCTGCCCTTAAGGTGTCGCCAGTGGCTGCGCGCTCAGGGCTTCTCTGGGACTGGATTTCCTAACTGCTTGAGCAGATGTTCCACGTTCCTGGCTTCCTCAGCTCCCTGGGGTGCTCACTGCACTTTGGGCTCCACTCTTGGGGCCTAACGCACCACCCTCTCGGAGGTACACCACCCGGCCGGCCTCCTGGAACCCGACTCACAGGCTCACAACTGTTGTATTCTGTGTTCCTGTAAGACCAACACCACAAGAACCGCGCCAAGGTCTGCGGCAAGCTGAAGCTCCTGGGAGCTGTGGCTGCTCTGCCTCGTGAGTGCCTGAGTGTCCGAACTGAGTCCCAGGGAATCAGTGCTCACAGCCCGCCTCCACCCTCTGTCTCTAGCAGGCTGTCTCTCTTCTCAACCTTCAATCTTTCCCTTTTGCAACTTTGAGGCTTTGAAGAGTGGTGCCCTGCTGGCTCAAGCCATCTTTCCTATTGTTCTGTCCTAACATATTTGGTTTCTTTCTAATGGTGATTTTTTAACAACAAAACTCTCCCCAGCTTTATTTTGGAGGACCCAACTTGACAGGAGCTTCCTTTCTGGTCAAACTCAAAAATTTTAAATCGTTCCACTGGGCCATTTTCCCTTGATACTCAATGCAGAGTTGGCTAAAGGTCCCCAAAATACCCAAGCCACAGCCTGAATGTTTGACAGCCTTGAAATTTCCACCATCAGATAAATTAGTCTGCCACCCTTAATCTCAGTGTCCTAAAAAGTTTCAGGACATAATCAAAAGCCAAGCAAGTTTTCTGCCAGAGTGTAATACCCATGACCTGGAGTCCAACTTCCAATGTAGGGAGTCCCTGTTCCCAACCAAAACCTCCTGGGTCTTGCCTTTTCTGTCTGCATTTCTAGCAACATTCTGTTCTTCTACACTCTGATCAGAATCTCCCACCCAGTTTGGCTGAAGGCATTCTAGAGTTTCTCCAGCTGGAATCTTCAAACCTTTCCAAACTTCTCCCGCCAACCACTTCCAAAGCTTCTGAATCGCATGGTCAGGTAAAGTCGCAGCAGGGGCCCCACTCCAAGTATCCATTTCTATTGTAGCCTCTTTCTTCAGTATTGGAGAAAGCATAGGCAGCCCCCAAAATGTAAGGGAGGAAAGGCTTGTTTTGGCTTACAGTTTGTAGACGTTTCAGTCCATATTTCATTGGCTCCAAGGAAGAACAGCAGGGTACAAGGGCACAGCAGGCGTGTGGCTTAAGGCGCAGCAGACAGGAAGTCAGGAGGGAACACGGGAGGGTCTAAGCGGGAGATGAAGCCCTCAGGCCCTGCCCCAGTAACCCACATCTCCTGGCCAAGCCCCACCTGCGCACAGCAGTCTGCTGCTTACCCCCACAACACAACACTCCTCCTGAAGACCCGCCCCTTAGAGCCTGAGGCCGCGGGACCGGGATCTATGCGCAAACCATAACAGAAATTCAGTTAGTCCATGTACATAAAAATGTACGTCTTAAAATTTCTTTCTCTCTCCTTGCTGAAAGATTATTTTGCTTACCACACTGTCTCTTGAAACACAATTTTGATATAACAAGTAAAAGAAAGGCAGATTTTTCTGTGTAATTGGAGGGTACGGGGAAAAGAGACAGGGAGAGAATATGGAAGAGGAAAAGATGTTGAAAATGATTAAGGTCTGACTATAAAGTAAAAAAGGACAAGAAAAAAATTAAGGTTCATTGAAAGTAAGCATTAATGTTTAATTATTCGATCAATTATGCATGTGTGTATCTATTAATCTGAACAACAGATTTGGTGATGAAAACATGTACTGCAACAATTGTTAAATTTCTATTTTTGTTTTGAAATTCTGTACCATTTGTACTGTCGTTTGTTACTCTGTTTGTCTTTGTTTCTGTTCTTTGTTTTTAACCTTTAAAATAAAATTAAAGAAAATGATTGAGGTCTGTATGTATAAGTACAAATCTCCCAAAATGGAAGTATATTTTATGAATTACAAACATGCACTAGTGATTGGAAGAAATAGTATCAATAGTGTATTAGAGTTTATTAAATAAGGGATCCATGATATAATCATTAGCATATTTCTCAGGTCTACAAATCACTAATGAATTTATAAAGAAAATAATGAAATAATAAGCAAATTCAAAGACATCCAATAAGGGGACACTTCTGAACTAAGTGACAGGTTAGGGTAAAAGTATGGAGGAAGAAATATCAAATTTAACAGTGATTACATCAATGTTCCTACACAAAATAATAATTTATTTTTATTAGCTGCATAGGATGTTAATTAGAGTTGATTAAAAGTGTTTGGGGAATTTTACTGATGGATTTTTAAAGTCTCTTATTTTTCCTTACATTCAACAATTATGTATGAAAATTTACACAAAAACGTCCATTATTGTTATAAACTTTATTTGGAGATATTTAAATATTGGGGAAAGTGGAAGCATATTTAAAACACTGTGCACCGGGGAGATAGCTCAGCAGTCTAAGTGCCTGCCCGGCAAGCTGAGGGACCCAAGTTCGATCCCCAGTACCACATGCTGAGTGGCCCACCAAAATCAGGTGGGGTGGCACACGCCTGGAATCACAGTGCTAGGGAGGCTGAGACAGGACCATCACTATGCATCCTTCATAGCCAGACCCTGTACCAGAAGGAAGGAAGGAAGGAAGGAAGGAAGGAAGGAAGGAAGGAAAGAAAGAAAGAAAGAAAGAAAGAAAGAAAGAAAGAAAGAAAGAAAGAAAGAAAGAAAGAAAGAAAAGCAAGCTATCAATTGAGTGTCATGGTTGGTGTCTATCTGAAGCACAAAGCACTGGTGGCTCAAAAAGGAACTTTTGAGCCCAGTCTGGACAACTTAGTCATTTAAGAAGACACTGCCTCAAATTTCAAAAACATCAAAATTAAAATTGTAAATAAGGGCTGCGGTCTTCTCTTAGCACACAGGCCTCAGTCATGATGGCACAACAATAAAAATATTTTAAAATCCCAATATTAATAATAAATTACCAAGGTAATAGATATGTATGTGTTAGATTAATTAGATCTGTAGAGGGTTGACTAAATAGCTCTGTGGATTAGAGCACCTCCAAGCAGGCTCAGGGGCTGGGAGTTCAATTCCTGGGCCTGCTGTGCCGGCCCCACCCACGGGGGACCCTGAGATGGCACTGAGACTGGGCATGGTGGTGCAGGACTGTAATCCCAGCTCTTGGGAGGCTACAAACAGGCAGATCACTTTGAGTCCGACCTAGCAGTGAGAACACCCTGCAGACCCTTCTCTAAAATACAAAAA